TTCCGGTGCAGAAGTCGTTCGCTGATATTTTTATTTCGACGCTTCTCGACACGTCTGCCGGTCCATCGTATCCTCTTTCGCCACCCATAGCGATTAATGTTTTAATTAATGATCCACATTTGTGGAATACGACCGGCAGTCACGGAGATCATCGACCTACGATGTAAATAATCTTCCATATTTTAAAATAGGTTTTTTTTTAAACCTCGCGCAAATTCTATTCAGAACATAAAAGTACATTTCAATTGTAAATAAATAAAGAATCCAAAAGTTGCAAACAGATCAACGGAAACCAAGATATAACTTGCAAGAGTTGTATCAATAAATAAAAGTTGTCTAAAATTTAACTTTGTCTATTTCTAATTTTGACGGAAAAAAGTTTTAATCGCAGTGAATTGTGATTAATGCTTGTAGAAAGGCATTGAAATATATAGGACAATAAAATACACTTCCAAATTTAAAATTAATTTGCATATTTAGCTTGCTTCACAGTTTATATCGAGACGCGAGAACAAAGTCCTGGCGCGGATGCGTGCATGTCGCTAAAAAGTCTCACTCCGGTCGTCGCTTCCTCTTGCGTCTATTTTCGTTGTACGCGTATACGCATAGAGGAAGTCGTCACGCAAAGGCACACGGTATTCCGTCGTGTTTCCGTCTTTCTGCCTTTCCTTCAACGCGCATTCGCCACCGATCCATTTGGCACGTTTATTTCTGTGTTTACTTCTGAGTCGGACATACGTCCGTATTACGGGTCTCAGCACTCTGACCTCCGTGATGACGACGACGACGATGACGATATTCTTTACGGCAAACTTTACCAGAACTCGTTAATGCAAACGCGCGATTGTGTACCAAAATAATCGCCCCCGCTTAAATTACATGAGCCGTTAATGGTAAAAATAGCACAAAGAAAATCAAATCGAGAAATGAGCGTCCATTAACATCCTAATTTACATTTTATGTAAATTATATTTTAATTGCGTTACTAAAATAGTGCATAAGCACATTTTAAAATCTCAATATATTTATCGACGAATGTGTTATTTTATCAATTCTATTACACAAAACTTATTTCAGGGTAAAATTTTAGAAAATCTATTGATCATTAAAAAGGCATAAAACTGATATATGTAATAATAAGAAATTCTATTGTACTATTTAGTTTCACTAGTACAAATTGCTCACGGAACGTGATCTATCCCGATCAAGTATCATCGTGCGAATGATGAAGGAGCAATAGACATCAAAGACAGTCTCGTCAATTTCGAGATTTGTGAGAATTAGGATTTGTAAGAATATGGAGATAAAACAACAATATGTGTGCGAATAGATAAGACGCGCGCGCGCGCGTGTGTGTGTGTGTGAGAGAGAGAGAGAGAGAGAAAGAGAGAGGAAATATGGAGCGCGCAGGTTAAGTGCGTTAACGTAAACAACCTCCCCACCAAACACTGCGAGACGTCTCGAAATTCTTAACATTAGAGAATTTGATAAATAGCCTAATATTAAGAGTTTCGATACTGACTCGCGGGGTTCAGTAGAGTTGTTTTTGTTGCTTTTAGCTGCGTGATTTATTATATTCTCTCTCTCTCTCTCTCTCTCTCTCTCTCTCTCTCTCTCTCTCTTGCGCTATGTATCGAAGCGTACATTGTTACAGCCTACCTCTTACATTCTCCGAAATCGGAATCGCAACCTTATCTTTGATATGTTTATTGCACCTTTATCATTCGCACGACGGCACCTCGATACAGAACGAATTGTTTTGTATCGGTGTGTTATCCTTTCCAATAGTACTATCCTTATTATTTCTGCATTTGCATAAAAGAGAGAAATGAGTAAAAGTTCTATGTGCGTAATAATGAGATTTCTCAAATAATTATTTTAAACGCTGCTATAATATTTGGATGTATTTTGTATGCTATTGATCAACCTGTAAGCAGCTGCTGCTGCGAATCGTGAACCGGTAAGTCAATCCAATTTGTTTTATTTTAATATCATTAAAAGAATAGATTCAGAAATATAATGTAACATATACAAAGTGTCTCAGATGTAAATAATTTCATCATCAATTCGTAAATCAATCTTTGAACGATCAAATGGTATTTTAATTATATTATTAATCCTACGATCACTTGATCGCTTTTAATCTTTGTATAGTCTAGAGCGCGTATTTTACGCATCCCCGGGTGATATACACATGAGCTGAATGAACCAAGGTTAACTTCGGCATCAATGTCTATCCAAATGAACCCACATTAGCGCGAGCAGGAGCAACGCAGACTATCGATAGTGTGGCGTGGTATTTATCCAGACGGCGAATAAACATACTCACTTAAGTATCGCGGAAGCATCTGTTCGGTTCCGAATACTCCGCCGAGTATTGCGGATACTCGAAACCCAGTAATATACAATCATTATATGCTTCTTCAATATTTAAGCCATGTATAATGTTACGTTCGGGGGCAAACGTTACGTTCAGTTTTTATCATAGTTTGTGAACAATTCAAACTGTTGGAACATACTTTGAAAGTTTCGAACTATTTGACATGTAATCCCGAGATTTGATCTATTCAAACTGCTCGACTATCAAAAATTTCCGAGCACTAATTAGTTTATCGATGTATTATAAATTAAGTTCGTAATAAAGTACAATTGTTTATCATATGCATTCTTTCTGCTAGGCATATAAGTTATAACGTGCTAAAATTTAAATAAATTGCGCACGAGAATAAATAGAATAACAAATAGATACCTCTTATAGAATGTTCAATTCATTGCTAAGAGTATATACATATAAAAACATTTTATTTATATTAAGAAATATTTTACGACATTATTCTAAGGATATAATAAAATCCATGTATGTTGTTTATCGTCACGCCATTTATGGCGCCATATAAAATTCACTTTGTGAGAATTTCTATCTAAACTACGTTACAGTAAGAATTCATCCGCATGAATAATCGTTGACGATCCTTGAATGTAGATATTTTAATCGGCATGAAACATAGTAGTAGGATTTTTATCCATATGAATACCGACGATTTCGGATAAAAATCTCAATACGATATGTTTGCAGATTAAAATATCTATATCTAAGGATCATCAATGGTATTCGTGTGTGTGTCGCGCGCATACGCACACATATCAAACGAATATGACATACGCGTATATGTGTATCTCTTGTGATAATTTGCGTACATATACACAAATGCGGGCATGTAGAAATTCAAGACTCGTTACAAATATTGTGATACAATCGAGATTCCGTATTCAAGCCATTTTTATATCATCAATTTCTATTAAAAACGCGGCAGCAATGGCCGCACAAGTAGATGCGCGTACTCACCTCGATGCAAATCGACAGGCAGCAGGTAGCGGGCCATCGCGACGCAATAGCGGTCGTTGCATCTCCTTGCGTTAAATGTTTGTTCGTTCACGCGTGTTCTCGATGTGTCGACGACATCATTGATGACAATAGAGATGATGCGATGAAAAAATCGCCGGTTCTTGTAACGGACTTTTCGCCAACCACAGCCACATGTATGCTAACTGAAGTTCGCGCGATCGCATAACCTTCCGACCGATGCGCACGCGTTAGATAGTGACGGGCAGCTAGTAGCTGCGGCAACAGTAGAGTCCGCCGCGCGAGCTAGCGGCCGACGTTTGAATTGTGTGGTACTTGATGTTTAGTTAAAGCGGTGGCCAGAGGGAGATGCAATGCTTACACGCGTGTTTCTAGGCGACGCGCCAAGCTCGCGCATGACAGTCAGGTGACTGATATGAATCGTTACGTATATACACACATATATATGTGCAAGGATTATTGAAAAATATTTCGATGAACGTTAAATAGGAACTATATATTTCTCGTGAACATTAAAACATGGCTCAATAAACATTAAGTATCAGAAAAATCCTTCCACTAATTTGAAAGTAAGTAGCTCAGTTTATAACGTGTTTGATTTCGTTTTATTTTGATGAATTATAATAATTAGGCAAACGGTATAGAGAATGATAGAAATGTTCGTAGGTTATACACGAATTTTGTATTCGATGTAAGAAACGTTCGTAAAGTATATTTAAGCCGTGCCGATAAATATTAAGGTCAATATAAATACATAGTTACACAACTTTTATAGACGTTTATTTGTGAAGATAAAAGAATTATTCACGTTGCGAAGTCGGCGACTATCGCACGCGCGTGCTTATCGCCGAGCACACTTCAACGATACGTTTTGATGGATTTTGTAGAGCGCAACGTGAATCCATCTCTAACCAATGCGCCGATGAAGCTCTTGCCGCATTCTCGTGTTCTCCAAAGCACCGCGATTCGTATTGACGCACTTGTACTTATCATCCGAATGATAAAATTTCGATGAGAGATTGTAGCTCACGATTCTTGCGTTTCACGCGCTATGCATTTCATCCATCAATAGTCGACGCAATGTTTTTCACATGCGTCATACAATAAACATCATTATCATCGCGTGGATCTACTCATGTAATCTAGTGATTTTCGATGCGACATGATAGCGCCTTGTGGCGAATAAACTGATGGCCAGCATCAGACTGCTGACGGCGACGATGGAGAGGAACAGCCATGTGCTTTGCTCCGAATTGATAAGGAAACCCTGCAGGTTTTCATGGATGAAACGCAGCGCGATGTGCAGGGCGGCGCCGAGTGAGTCGCCAACGACGCGGCCGTCGCCGCAGCAATCGTACGACATATGACGCCGCGTCGTTGTTCTATTAAATAGCGAGCGCGACGCGACGCGGTCCGCGCCGCGAGTAAGGGAGCTCCCAGGTATCGTCAACGCAGATGATAATGCATGCAAGAATCGAGCCGCACGCCGAGAGACGGAACGAGATTTCGCAAGCAAGGAAGCATGCGGACAGCGCGGCAGTGAACGTCAAGCGGGTTTTCGCTTTCAACTGAAATCGAATGGGCTAGACCGCACGATCGTCCTCGGGAACGCGTGTGGGTGCGTCGTGCGTTGCATCGTGGGGCGCACGCGTGCATGTTGTACGCGTTCAGTCGTTCTCACGATAACGCGACTACGGTACGAATATTTTCGCGAATATATACGCGAATGATGTTATAGTACAGTCGACCTTTTATCATCCAACATTTTAAGACTATGCTCTCCTACATTTTAATCTGGTTAAATCAAATATTTTTGTAATAACAGATGATATTGTTTTTTCCTAGCTGCTGATACTTGATGTCGATATTCGAAACAAATAGAAGAAAAAGAAGAAAAACATGTCCGACATGTAGATCATATCGAGCTCGGCTTACAAAACGCGGATATGCAGATGAGACGAGTGATTGAGTTACGCGCGTGTCACTTATCAATGACAAGTGTAACATGGGCACATATCAACAAAAGTCGCGTGCTTCGCCGCAATCGTGAACCCCCGCTAAACAGGTATCTCCAAAAAACTTTTTCTTTTAAAAAAAAAATTAATAATTAATAAAGAGTGATATAAAAGGTAGAAAAAGGTTTAAGAGTGATATAAAAGGTAGAAAAAGGTTTAAAAGTTTACAAGGATTGGATCAATTTAAATTTAAATTTAAAATTATAATTCAAGTAAAAATAATTTATAAATTATCTTAAAAAATACGATTATATTTAATTTTTTTAAATTGCTATTTTTACATATTTGACATTTCTTATATTTGTATTATAAAAAGTAATTAAGATGAGCAAGGCCCTACTCACAATAGAAAAAATATTAGGAATAGGAATAAATATTAAATATTAGGAAGAGCAATTTGGAATTATTTTATTTCAAACAAAGGAACGGAATGGATTAATTATTTCTAATTCTTATTTCCTAATTTATGATATGTTAATCCATTTTTCATTTTCTTGTTTTGAAATGAAATAATATCAATTTTCTACTTCTAATATTTAATATTTATTCTTATTCCTAATATTTTTTCTATTGTGCGTTGAGCCTAAGAAAAATTGTTTGTATAAAAGAAAAATTTATTGGCAAAGAACTCGGTTGTTTATTTTTTTTATTACATATGTTTATATGTTAATGTAAAATTCATAGATTTAAAAGCAATACACTATCAAAACTGTTAAACGATTACGAAGTTGGTGATGATATAAAATATTGATCATTATTTAGAGAAGCAAGAAATAAAATTTAGAAAGCGTTAAGTAAAACAGATAGATTTGGAGTTGTCAGATTTGCCACTTTTTAGAATAAAAATTGCGACATTTACTTATATAAGACTACTCGCGACAGTATACTTTAGACAACACTATAGCTATCATCCTCACGAAGCCCTCGAAGCGAAGGAATGCCACTCCACGACCGACCGTGAAAGTGGTATTAATTATAGCCTTTTAATGCGTCGACATTTTTTCGCCTTGATTTTTTATATCTTTTCGGGAGGAAGAAATCAATCTCATTCCACACGAACATACTCTCTCACTAAATATTCATCCCATATACTTAGTTTGTGATTGGATATAAATAGAAAATAATATTAAATCGAATTAAATGTTAATAAATCTATCACTGCAACTGAAATCGAATTAGAAAAAAAAACTAAAAACTGTATTAATATTTGAGCGAAATGCGTTGTTTAAAGTAAAAGCTGTGTATATGAACATTTATATTATTATTTAATGAATATTTATTGAATGCATTAAATTCTATATTCATTATTCTAAATTAATAATTCATTGAATATTCTAGAATCATTCTAGAATTATTCTAGAATTATATTCTAATGATAATAATGATTTATTGAATATTCTAGAATATAATTCTATATATTTCTAGAATTATATTCTAAATATTCTTCTAGATATTCTAGAATTATATTCTAAAAAATTATATTCTAGAATTATATTCAATAAATCATTATCATTATTATTAAATAATTGAATGGATTTATTTACACAACTAATTCACATTATTTTGAACAAGAAGTTAGTGAAATAGATTATAGATATTAAATTTTTTTATCCAATATTAAAAGACATTTATTTGTTCTATATATAAACATATTTTTCTAGTAATAAAAATAAGAAAGTAGCAAAAATATTTAAAATATTGAATAAAATCTACAAATAGAAGTATAATATTAATGTGTATATGTTAACTTATATCTTGGTTAAATTATATCTTGTCAATAATCAGAATGCAATCTTTATCATGCATATTAAAGGAATTGTAAAATCAGATCAATTATAAATATTTCTTAACTGTATAAGGTCTTAGCTAACACAAGAAAAAAAAAATTACATTTTAAAATGATGAAAAAACTATTTACATTTTATTGGTGTCACGTTAATATAAATTTTATATTACTTACAGTATTCAAAGTTTTAATTTATTCTGAATCATATTTAATTCATAGTGTTATGTATACAGCTTAATACTACAGCTTAAACTACTTATATAATTATATTATTTTTAATCCAATATCTTTAAAGATCTCAGCTTTTATTTTACGCAAATGTTTAATCAGTTACTTTTTCTCTTCATTTAAATTATATTTCGTCTTTAATTTATCTAGGTCCTCCATCTTTTTGTCAACATCAATTCGCTTAAATGCCTTATTGCTCTGATAATATAAAACCACCAAGTAACGATTACATACATTGAAACCGCTTAAATGGTCGCATGCATTCTTTGCATCGAATATGTCTTCATATACAACAAACGCTGTGCCTCTTGTCTCAGCTGTGTTACCTCTGAAATAAGAATAATAATTTTAATTTGAATTTACAAGTTTATAATGTTATAAGAGTCCAATTATGTTGTACGTGATATATTACTTACACTCTAATTTGCCTGATAGCTCCATATTTGCCAAATATATCGTACATTTCTTCAGCTGTGATTTTATATGGTAGGTTTCTGATATATAACACTCTGTTTACTTCGGGTGGTAGCCTTACCTAAAACAAAATCCCATTTATATTAGAAAGCAAGAATATGCAAAAAGTTAGGTTATATTAACAGCAGTCATATAATTAGGTCGTAATTCGTTAATAACGTGTTAAAAATTTGTGTATACTTACATTGGCACGACGTTGCAACATTGCCATAGTCATTTTGATCAATTGATTTTTTACTCTAAAGCTTTCTCAAGGTAAAAAATTAATTTGAGAATCAAATATCTTTGATTGAAGAACTCACAACACTAACAACAAGGAATAAGTGAGAGACCTCATGTGGCGGAAGCACACAGTTTTATAAGCATGATGTGCATCACGTGCATTATCATATGTGCATTACCATCAAATGGTAATACTCGTTTGCTGTTTAGTTTTCTGTGTCTTGCATAGAGTGCGTGAGAATACTCTTCACAATGGAGGTCGTTGACAGAATCTGGTCACTACGGTCACCATTGAATTCTAGACCGAATATGGCGGTAGTGTTTAGTACTATGTAATACTTATTACAGTATTTATTTTATTGAGCTGGACAAGATCTATAACTTTCAGCCGATTTTTGTTGTTGATGATTATTGCTTCTTTCTCGCTCACGCTTCTTAGCAACGAGGCATGGAATAAGTATAAGCATGCGATGGATTCATTCTTAGGAAGGAATGAGCTTGCCGTAGGTTCATCTATTCCTGAAATAGAGTATCACACGCCTTAGTTATAGCTATCCATTGGTTCAACACAAAGAACATGAACAAGAAGGAGATGGTGGGCATGAATTGCAAAAATCAATCATAAGTTTTTCCAAACTTAGCGTTAATACAACTAAACATACAACTAGCCATTTTTGTATAAAATAAGTTAAACATTAACAGTTTATTTTTTTATGAAAACTATCACATATTCTTAAAAATTCTGAATTAGTTTATAATTTATGAAGTGAGTGTATTGCAAATCTAAAGCAAATTCTAAAATTTTTAGTAATAAAAATATAGCAGTGTGTATTTTATAATTGAATAATTATTTATTTGTTATTACAATTATGCATGCTATTAGGAATCTTATTTTGAATATTTTTCATTGTTTAAAGGAACATAAATATTTATAATAATTATTATTGTCTTTTTAATTGTATTTTTCGTTCTTTTACGTTTGAATATAGTAACTAATTTTTCCATATTTGGTCTGACACAGAACTGGATAAGTCAGTGAAAAGTCGGAGATGACCAGACCCTGACTTGAGTCTCTACATCTGCTGCCATCGCAGCGCTACCATCGAAGCCGACGGCAAAGTCGCGAGTCACGTCGCCGGCATATACGAGCTCCGCAGTCGCGCGCCTGTACTCTCAGCAGCTGAAGTGGGATTTGTGACGTGCGTGTGTCATCGCATTTCCTTCGGAGAAAAACGTCTTTTCGTTTTAACGTTGTTTTCTGTCAAATTCACGTGCGTGTCTGTCTCTCTCTCTCTTTTCCTCCCTCCCTCTCTCGCTCTCTTTCTCCCCTCTCTCTATCTGTCCAGCGAACTATCTCTTTTTACCGTAACACAGTCTTATTCTTTCGTTGGACAATCGAAGGCAGAAGTGCGCTTTCGCGTTATCGAAAAAAAGACGGACAGTGTGAGAGTTGAAGAGAAAAGAAGATGTATATAAAGTGAAAGAGTAGAGAGAGGGAGAGAGAGAGAACGCAATGGCAGAGTGAGGGAAACAAAATGGTAGAGGGGCGGAAGAGAGAGAGAAAGAGACGAACATGTTCGGACGGTGACGAACGGCAAAGAGTGCAACGAGGACACGGCAATCAGTCGCGCTTTCGCGAGAGGCGAGGTTAAACGCGACGTTGTTTGCAAATTCGTGACTGTTTTCTTTACTTCTCTCTCCAGGAGACTCATATTCGTGAATTTTCGCTCTTCTTGGGGATACATACGTAGTGCGGCAATAAAGGAGCAAAGTGACGTGTTACACATGTGTATTGAGTGTGTATAAGTGCTGTCTGAATTTGGAAATTTCGAGGACCGAGGATAAATCGGAACATCTACATCAGGATTTCTACCCTACGTATCCTGTTATGTGAGTACATCTTCTAATTTCTACATTTTCGTTGAATAGATGCTACTTATACGATCATCACCGAGACAGTGTGTAAAATAATCGTGTTTGAACGAGTTACTTGATATCGCAATTTTATTCTAATTCTAACCGGATAAATTAATCCTTTGACGTATATGCAAAGATTGATTTAGCTTTCTCTCTGTATCTTTCACCCTCCTTTTCCTCCCACTTCTCTTTTCCTTTCTTTCTATATCTCTTTCTCGCTTATTTTGCTGTTCACTCGCACGGCGCGACCTTCGCGCGAGGACGTGTCGCACGACGAGAACTTTCCGATTGCGCGAATGTGAGATACACTCGTTGACGCTCAAACGCTCGAAATTTTATATTATTAATAATATAATAAATATAGCATCGAAATGTAACCGCATTGACATGATGAGTGATCATAAAAATCATTGAAAGGTACAATTCATTATTTGCAAACGCATTGTAATATAAAACAAACGGAATAATGATCATATCTTTTTGATAAATTGTTTTTTGCATAAAATAGATGTACGAGTAACTCGTATTAGTAACACAATCATAGATTTTTATAGTTTATCCGCAGATTGTGCTAAATATTTGCTTCTTAAACTTGTTAAAAAATTTTGCATCTCTTTTATTGATTAAAAAATTAACATGTTACATGAAGAAATTAATATAATGAAATTAGGTGATATGATGAATAATAATAGTGCTTACCTAATTTGAATATATTTTATTAACATTTTTTTAGAAAATTTCTATTTCTATATTAACTAAGATTTCGGATAATTCTCACAATACACTTTAGAAATAATAACATAATGTAGCTTGTGTGCATTCAAATGTAGAAATGTTCGGAGTTGAATTATTAAAGGCTAAAGCACATTTAATGTCTATGTCACGTGAATCTACAGTTTGTCATGTTACATTAGATATAGTGATCTGACGCGCGAAGCAATTATATTCAGTTTATCTGTTTAATATGGAAATGGAAGATGTTGGGTTGGGCAAATATGCATTTTAAATATGAACTAATGATGTGAACTATTCAAAAGAGAGAAAACATGCATTTTATAATGCATTTATTTTATGTTTTAATAGTATCGACATGTGTAATAATACGTGATAAGTATTCTCTCCAGTAATTTACAAACACAAATATACGTGTGTGTGAAGCTGGCGTATCATTTCGCGGAAACTCACAAATAATTAAGAGTTCTGACTTTATTTTCAATAGTTCTAGAGTTCCTGATAGTTTAAACAAATAGTTCTGGCCATTAAACCAACGAAAATGCCTCAGGACAAACTGAGACGCCAACTTCACGCAGCGTCTCACTTTGTCCTACGACATTTTCCTTGTCAATAATTGTTGGAAATTAAAAGATTTATAGTTCTACAAGAATTCTAAAAAGAGTTCTGCCTTCTAAAAGCAAAAAAATATCAATAAAGATAAAATAAGAACAAGCGAATCCTTATATCTATAGATATACAGATGAGACGCCGGCCTATTTTCAAGAGTTCTATTTATTCCAAATCAGTTTTCGTATAGTTCTGGACATGAACAATGCCTTTCCAAGGAGTTCTGATAGTTACAACAATTAGAACTTTTTTTAAAAAATTATTTTGCCCAAAAAACGTAATTTTTCAGGTATAAAGGTGAGACGCTGGTCGATTTTCAAGAGTTCTGTTTATTCCAACTTAGCTCTCGTATAGTTCTGGGCATGTACAATGTCTTTCCAAAGAGTTCTGATGATTACAACAATTAGAACTTTTTTTAAAAAATTATTTTGCCCGAAAAACGTATTTTTTCGGGTATAAAGGTGAGACGCTGGTCGATTTTCAAGAGTTCTGTTTATTCCAACTTACCTCTCATATAGTTCTGAGCATGCACAATGTCTTTCCAAAGAGTTCTGATGGTTACAACAATTAGAACTTTTTTTAAAAAATTATTTTGCCCGAAAAACGTATTTTTTCGGGTATAAAGGTGAGACGCTGGTCGATTTTTAAGAGTTCTGTTTATTCCAACTTAGCTCTCGTATAGTTCTGGGCATGCACAATGCCTTTCCAAAAAGTTCTGATAGTTACAACAATTAGAAATTAAAAAAAAAATTATTTTGTTTGAATAACGTATCTTTTCGAGTATAAAGCTGAGACGCTGGTCGAATTTCGATAGTTCTATCGATTTTAAATGACATTTTGCGTCAGGCTGTAATCACTTTTCATTTCTATGAAGAGTTCTATGCGTTATTAGAATGTTAATTTAATAAATTAGATCTTTTGAAGCGCTGGACGTATAAATACCAAACTATCGAGGTGAAACGTTGATTGTTTTTCTACAACGTCATGGATTAAAAAATTTTTATTTTACTGTATAAGTATATTATTTTAAATGTCCACGCCGTGATTCTGGATTATGCTAAGAACAAGATAAGTACATTTAAAACAATACACTTTCACACAATGAAATAAAAATTTCAAAATCCATGACGTAGAATAATGATCAGTCTCACCTCGATAGCTCAATATATATACGTCCAGCCTCTCGAGAGACCTAACTTGTTCAATCAACATTCTAATAACTTTTACGCATAGACTCTTCGTAGAAATAAAAAGTGATTACAAACTGACACGAAATGTCACTTGAAATCGATAGAATTATCGACATACGACCAGCGTCTGACCTTTATACTCGAAAAAATACGTTTTTCAGCCAAAATAATTTTTTAAAAAAGGTCAGTCTCACCTCGATAGCTCAATATATATACGTCCAGCGTTTCGAGAGACCTAACTTGTTTAATCAACATTCTAATAACTTTTACGCATAGAACTTTTCGTAGAAATAAAAAGTCATTACAAACTGACACGAAATGTCACTTGAAATCGATAGAATTATCGACATACGACCAGCGTCAGATCTTTATACTCGAAAAATACGTTTTTCAGCCAAAATAACTTTTAAAAAAGATGTCTAATTGTTGTAACCATCAGAACTCTTTGGAAAGACATTGTGCATGCCCAGAACTATACGAGAGCTAAGTTGGAATAAACAGAACTCTTGAAAATCGACCAGCGTCTCACCTTTTATACCTGAAAAAAACACGTTTTTCGAGTAAAATAATTTTTTTTAATTTAATTTGTTGTTAACCTATTCTAGTAACTTCTTTTGGAAAGACATTGTGCATGCCCAGGAACTATACGAGATCTAAGTTGGAATAAACAGAACTCTTGAAAATAGGCCGGCGTCTCATCTGTATATCTATAGATATAAGGATTTGCTTGTTCTTATTTTATCTTTATTGATATTTTTTTGCTTTTAGAAGGCAGAACTCTTCTTAGAACTCTTGTAGAACTATAAATCTTTTAATTTCCAACAATTATTGGTAAGGAAAATGTCGTAGGACAAAGTGAGACGCTGCGTGAAGTTGGCGTCTCAGTTTGTCCTGAGGCATTTTCGTTGGTTTAATGGCCAGAACTATTTGTTTAAACTATCAGGAACTCTAGAACTATTGAAAATAAAGTCAGAACTCTTAATTATTTGTGAGTTTCCGCGAAATGATACGCCAGCTTCACACACACCAAATGTACTTACAAATTTTTAACCGCGCTATTATTTATACACTGCTGGACGTTGATTGACTTGACCAATTCTATTTTTAATTAAGTGTACACAATGAACACTTCGTCTAACATGTAATTATATACTTGTTTTATGACTAATATAATGAGAATTATAATTAATACTGTTACAAATTTTACTTATCAACAGCGTACGGTCGTATTTAGTAGAGTCCGACCGAAATCACTTTTTTTAGTTTCGGCCGAAATCGAAAACGAATATTCGGTTTTTACTCAATTTCGGCCGAAACAGAAACCGAAATTTTTGGAGGAGTTTTATAAAAAGCTACATGATTTTAAAAAAACCGTTGGAAAATGTGTAAAATTTATGTACTGTTTTAAAAATATGATTTTATTAATATCTTATTAAAATATAAAGTATTTTTTACAAATAAAACGCAATATTACAAAATAAAAAATAATGTATTATAAAGTAGAGTCCGACCGAAACCACTTTTTTTAGTTTCAACCGAAACCGAAATTAAGCCGAAACCTTGATTTTTGGCCAAACTGACCGTAACCGAAATCGAAACCGAAATTTCGGTCGGACTCTAATATTTAGTAAGAACTGCCTATAAGCAATCGATCCGTGAGTACTATTATAATATGAAAGAAATAATAAACATAACCAATAATGAAGGATATCAATTAAATTTTATTTGTCATTTTATATTCTCTACTTTGCTATTGTATCACGATACGTCGTAAAATGTTATCAAAAGCAAAAGTAAGAGAAAGCATTTTGTAATTGCATTCTAAAAACTGTACTACAATTGTATTTATTATTATAAAAAGTTCCAAAGAGTTATCAAGAAATTATCGTCTTGTAAATTGCAGAGATAGAATCTGTGGATTCAAATCAATGGAAAAAAGATAACAAATGTCTAGTATAAACAATCACTAAAACATTAGCTCGCTCTCAGTTATAAATAACATATCTATTAAACTTTCTAGATCCGATTTCTAGTATCACAATTTTTTCGAAATACTTTTAATCATGAAATATTTACTCGAAAGATTTTTGCAAAGCAAAATGTAGAGCAATACAAAACAAACATTTATGTGTCGATCTTACAAGTTTACTAATTGACACTCGGTAAATATCATATTGTGAGTATAATTGTTTATAAACCGAACAACTGTGCTGCAATGTTTTTCATTCATACTTTGCACGACAATTATTTAAAATTTGCAAGATACTTCGATAGAAACTGTGGGAAGTCTTTTAAAAATAATTTTTTTAAACTAGAATAATAGTAAATGATGATGTGGCATTAATTATGCTATATTTAGACAGATGCTACACAGATATCATAGTTTAGTTATGCTCTCAGTCTCGCCATGCAAAGCGCATGAAATATACTGAAAGAAGAAAA